TCTATAAGACTAAGGAATCATTGAGCCTTTTATTTGTGCAGAATTTCATAATGGCTAACCGATCAGAGTGGTTTAGCTTCTGCGTTTTGTTTTTTCTCTTACGTTTTCATATCTAAGTAAATCACGAACAAAAAAGTAAAATGCAGTGACAGTGTTTCAGGTATTTATGGATCATAACCTTGAATGTTATTTACTGATATTATGTTTATAAAGGCCTAGTCAACATAAAACTTCAACAGATATAACAAAATATAGACTATTTACTCAAAACAAGTATAACATTTGACAATTTTAGAATAAACCACTGCACATTGATATTGTTTTGTAGACAATGTTAAGCTAGTTTAACTATCGAAGGAACAGTTCACTGAAATGGAAAACTGAGATGTTTTCTTATACTTCCAGGCTTATGCACAGGTTTTTATTTAGCAGAACATTAAAGATTGCAGAAAAAGTCATTGGCTTTCATCACTCTGATAGTAGTGGGAACATACACTACCTGACCAAAAGAAATTTACACACTCTAAAACTTCATTGGACTGCCTTTAGTTTTGATTAGGGCACACAGTTACCATGAAATATGTTTCTGCAATGTCACAACATTTAGAGTTGTATGAATCTTTTGTCAAGATCTTGCACTGTTGATAAAATCAGACCACCGCACAAGTTTACTCCAGCAAATCCCAAAGATTCATAATAGGGTTAAGATCTGGGCTCTGTGGTAGCCAATTCATGAGTTAATTTTTTCCCCTTCTTTTTCTTAAAAAAGAAGGCCTTAAAGTCTGTTGTTGTTTTTCATAACTTGATTTAGCCAAATTTTTAAGTGATCGCTAATTTGAATCATGCCAGATTTATTTCCAACCACATTTGGACTGCAACAGGTTGTCAGACATGCAACATGTTGTTAGATTGACATTGCAGCCCAGTGTTGTGGGGACGTTGCATTTTGTTTGTAAATGAAAATCGGGTTGACGTCAGAACTCATTGCGACGTTTGGTCACCTTCCAACAAAACCTAAAATCAACCAAATCTCAACATCATTTGATGTCATTATTGGATGTTAAAACAACGTTGCCCTTAGACGCTGGCTAGACACTGAATTTTGGTCACCTGACATTGCAACCTAAATCTAACTTAATATTAACATCTTTTGATGTTGTGTGTCTGCTGGGATGCTTCCAGTTTTTAATAGCATAATTCCCCACTATGCTTCCAGTTCTTAACCCATTTAGTAGTTTCAGTAATCTCTTTAGACGATTCTTTGCTTTATACATGCCAATAATTTGATCATTCTAAAACAATTTAAATTATCTTTTCTACGACCACAAGATGTAGTTTTAACATAGTTTAATGTAAGACATTCTGGTTCTTGGCACGACCAGCCCAGCACATTTTGTATGTCTCTGTCATTTGACACACAAGGATCAGTTAGTAGATTTTCTTGTGAACAAGCTGATGTGTGTTAAGTTAAGAAGATATACAAAATGTAAGGGGGGTTGCAGGTAGGTCCCCAAAGACCGGAACTGAGAACCACTGAACCGCTTTAATGAATGAGAAGACAATCTGCATCAGGGCAATAAATAAATTGTTATCAGCTGAAACACATTCATCAATGCAGTAATTATCCAATAGAAAGCTCCTACCTAGTTGCTTAGTTGAATCCAGTGTATTTATTTATTTATTTGAATGGGCAGAAATAGGCTACCCGTTGCTTCACAATGCTTCCCCTTTTCTACTGTAAAAAAAAACAGCATTAACTTGTGTGAATTTGTTTCAGAACATTTAACAAGACACTTACACTCAACACTATCATGAATCTACTGTTTTACTGAAAAGATTGTTTTAATCAAAGATCTAAAATGTGGTAAATGATGTTAATTTTCTTGCACAGACCAATTGTTTAATTTCATAATACTTCAATTTTTAAATGTACATTAAGTCTTCCAAAATGTAAGTATCACAAACGAAACCTGAACATTTCATTAAACATGCCATTCTTTATTAACTTGTTTACTGTACTGCATATGTAACCCCACCCATCTTACACCACCCAAGCCGCTTTGTGCTGGGATCAAACCGGCGACCTTCTGCATGGGAGTTGGTTGCTCTAACAAGGCTAAAGACCATGGCCTCTAGTGTCTGTTGCTAAATCACCTTTTAGAGGTCAGAGGAGTGAGGATTACCTGCACAGCACTTCACTATAGCTGGCCTCAACACTCACCCTCATAAACCTCACTCCCATCTGGGTCACAGCACCAATGTAACCCCGCCAGGCCTACACCCAACCCACTCCAAGCTAGGATCGAACTTGCAACTTTCCACATGGGAGTCGGTTGCTCTAACAAGGAAGCTAAAGACCATGGCCTCTAGTGTCTGTCGCTAGAGCACCTTTTAGAGGTCAGAGGAGTGAGGTTTACCTGACAGCACTTCACTACTTGGCCAATGCTACACATAATCCATTGTAGATCAGCTTTACATTTTCATGCCCCTAAATGTGTCGCCAAACAAAACAGTCTGTGCATGGTTGCTTTACATGTCAGTCCAACAGCCTCTTGGGTGGTCCTTGGCAGTCAAAGCTGTGATTAATCGAGACTATTGTTCATTACTAATAATAGGTTATAATTCTTGATTGTTTTATCCCCTAACAAGCTCCCCTCAGGAAATGCAATCAAACAGCACTATATAGATGATGTTTCCTCCCTATTTTGAAAACTCTCCATGAGTCATTTTAGCAAACATGACTTGCACTACAGTATATTCAAACTGCATTCAAAACACAGGCATGAGTCACAGGAAAGCATATTCTGCAGTGTCTCCAGCTTTTGTAGGAAGAACTCAAACTCATGGAAAATTGTTAGAGTCTAAGCACTTTCCCAGCCCCCAACTCTCATTACCTACTTGGACAGAAGCAAATGGCCATTTCCTCATTTTCTGCAATTGAAATGAACATGATACTCATTAGCGGACTGCTCCAAAGGTGCAGAGCATGACTGACGCCATTACATCTCGAAAGAAAACATGTTCATCTTGTCTTCAACTCTCTGAATATGCTGTTTTTTTAAAGCACATCTGCAATTTATTCTGCATGTCAAAGCACATTAAAGAGCCCAAACAAGAGCCTATTTTTCTTTCTATTTTGGTATGTTCTGCAGCCAACACATTGGTCTTTTCTCTTTTCTTTTTTCTTTTTTGGACACTGTCACCACTCTTACTTAAATTTAGTTTTAAAAAAGACTTTAAAGGAAATAAAAAATAAGAAAGAAAATAAAAATCAAGTTATTGCTGAGGCTCAAACCGCAGCTCTCGGTTTTCCCTGGGGGTTTTTGTATTTCAGCCTAATACTATATCTACTGTGGCACTGGGTATAAAGTCACGCGTGAATGCAGGGAAGCGGTATCATGTCTGTTTGAGAAGTAATGCAAAGTGAATGCCCCTGCAAAACAAAGACAATGTGAACAGTTAAATCAAGACTGTGCAACCAAAGATTAGGTAACAAAGCTCAGATGAAGCCTGCTGGAGAAATACACAGGACGCTCTCTAAACTTGCATAAACATATACACAACCCTCAAATCTCAAAAGACAGCAATGCCTTTATCAAAGAAATATCTATGATAGTCTAAATGCCAGAGTGCAACCAAATATTCAATACTGAGGGAAATCAAACGTAAAACATGTTTTGTTGTTGAAAAACCTGTTCAAATCCACAAAGACCCTTCTTTCCATTCCACAAAAAGATTCTTGATTTAAATACCATGCTAATCTTTTTTTTAATTATTCTAATTATCTTGTTTTTGAGACCAAATAATTTGTCCTTTTAAGAACAGATGACTGAAAGGTTATTTGAAAAACTATAAATGGTTCTTTTAGGCATCGCTGCTAAGCAGCAGCCCACCTCAGCATTAGTATAGCCCTGCTTGTACCATTAGCATAAAATACCCTTCTGTAGGGTGTCCAACAACACACAACCATTAAAAAGAAATATTATACTTTGCTGCACAGTGGTATAGCAGCATAATAATTTGCAGCATCCCTCTGAAAGCATGTGTGGGAAATGCTAATGCCGGTTGGACCCTAGGGTGCTCCTGGGCCATAACATTTTATATCTCAATCACAGATGCGGTAAACTGGGTATTTTTAGAAAGGGAAACACTTCATTATATACCTGAGCTGTACAATGGATGCTTAATTTATGTAATTTCTCCAATGGATGCAGCCTTTATGATGCAAGCTGAGACTGCATATCTCGGTGATGCAATGTCAGACAATGCCCTTAATAGTGCAAGTGATGTCACTGTGAGGGGTAGGGTTAGAGGTGGGGTTAGGTGAACTCATTAAAAAGCACTGGATGCAGCTCAGATTGCACTGCACAGGTCCGCATCCAACATCTCCAACCGCAGGGTGGCGCTTTATCCTCGAGGGGCTAATGTGTTCATTTTTCACTACACTAAACTCAATAGTGTGAGGGGTGAAATACCTAATAAATAAACAAACAGGGAAGCAAAACTGATAAAAACAAGGATTGCGGGAGCACTGAGCCGATCAGCTCCCAGTCTGACCATATATTGGTGGTGATTGAGGGTCAGCGATCATTTGAGTTTGTTTCAAAGAATCGGTTCAGATGACCGACTAAGTAAATTTCAGCCAGGATACATTTCTGGGTGTTCACATTGATATACTGTGTTAAAGCGTATTTAACCTTTGTAAATAGTTGCCTATTCCATCTGACATTAAAAGGATGTCCTGTATCCATTACTTGACAGTAAATTCTAATGAAAACATAATTTAGAAATACATTTATTTTTTTATTTGAAAATGTAACGTTCACTGCACCAGATAATTGATCAATTACACTCAAACACTCCCTTCTACTGGATCAATAGACTAGTACAGTAAATCACGAACTAAACATGTCAAATAGGCTGTTCAATCTGAGAACTGTTGACTCGTCAAGCCGCTCGAACCATTCCTGCAAGAACCGATTCCAACAATTCATTGAAAAGATTCGACTCAGATGAACGACTCATCATTTATGAAGCAGTTGCCGCTTACCCCAGGACCTCTCGTGGAAGGACTTATTTTATTAAGGAAGCCCAATATCGGATGAAATCCCCGCTGTGTCAACACACACTAAGCTATTTACCTACTGTTTAAGTTAGAGATTTGCAAGGTGGGTTATTTTTGAGATTGTTTTGGCAGGACAATGCACGCGGTATTCGCGGGCTTCTTTTGGAGTTTGTCACGCTCGTTTTATGGCGAGCGCTAAAACCATGCTTTCCCAAAACGCGCTGCTAATGCACGTGTTGGCAAATAGAAAGTTTTGTTTATTACAGTCAGCTTATTTACTGAGCATTTGAATTTTGCCACGGTCGGACTTTGCGTCTTTTTCTCTGAACCAGAATAGCAAAGTAAATCTTAGCATCAGCGTTAGCTGCGGTTGTCAGTAGTAACCGTACGCTAGCGTGTTGTTGTCATCGCTAAATTTAGTAACTGTTAACGTTTTGCGTCTCGGAGCAAAAGATTTAGCATTCATGTAGCAACAAATGTAGGTAGAGCTTTTGACTAGATGTACTTCTGCCATATCCCGTTAATCACTTCCGGGTTATAGTCGGAGCTCTTTATTCATGTTCAACCATGGGAAGCCGGTGAGCTGTAAGAACAGTGTTTAAAAGTTATTAGTAAAGATAAGTAAAATGTCTGTTATTCTATATGTGAATTCCATTCATATGAAACAAATCGCTGATGGTTGCATTTACAATTTTACGAGGTATATCTAATTTGTTAACGTTATCTATTAATATGTAACTCCTGATCAAAGAAATAAAGCGAGATTTGCATCTCAGACTTTCCCCTTAATAATATAATTTCATAAAATTATTATTTGCAAACTCTAAATAGCGAAATCATATTAACAGCCAATGATTTTTAAAGTACAACGTTGTTCACAGTCAAATAAACAGTGGTAATGTTGATTTTAAGTCATACTTGCATGCTAATTCCAATCTAATATTCAAAGTTATCTTGGTAAACAAATGTGTGAATATAAAACCAACTTTACCTCTATCTCACCCCTCAGGTATGAAAAGGAGCAGATATGAAGATGATTCTGGAACGTTACAGTTGGCTCCAGGCAGTGGCCAGAAAGCGAGCAAGCTCCCCCGATCCGAGGCAAGTGGTATAATGAAGATGATAAACGACTTATCAAATGAGTTTACATCTTTGTTTTGATATGAGAAAACAGAGTATTTTGTTTGTTAGACTTGTTTTTTTGTTTGTTTGTTTGTTTGTTTGCTTTTTGCAAAATTCAGACTTCCTTCAGTTCATGAGCTGTGTTTAAAGTTAATGTGGCCACAGGTCCTATAATGTTGAATTTGAGTTTACATTACAGAAGTAATATTGACTTGCAATTCTGCAAAATCGTGGTTGCACAAAAGTCTTTAATGTAAATCTGTTTTTATCAATTTATCATCTGTAGTATATAAATGTGTACTTAGACGTTTATCTAAATCAAGTTCACTGGTAAAAAAAAAAGAAAGAAAATCTGTATTACAAAATATGCACTGCATCTCAGCATCTGAATATGCAGTAGGGCAGTATATGAGCCGATCAGTATGTTCAATGAAGTCATAGTGATCCTAAAACTGCAGGCAAGAAGAACCTGAATGAAGGCCAAGACCCAAAAATGGTAGATAGTAAATTTAAAATTTCATACTATATTTAATGTCCACATAGAATGTTTTAAATATAGTACCTATACTCTACAGTAATTTGGCATTTAGGGTAACAGTCATTTTAGGAAATATTTTTGCATTTAGTAGATGCTTTTGTCCTAAGTGACCCGTGATCACACATCCAAAGCTGTGGATTGAGTTGGAGTTTTGGTGTCTTGTTCAGGGAAATCACCTTAGCTCTGGTATGGGCTATATGTATACGAACCTTTAATTTTCAGCCAGGCAGCCCAAGGCCTTCCAGTGAACTGTCTTTCCATTACAAAATCATCATGTTTAAACTCTGATTTCTTTAAAAATTAGCGATCTTTACTGCCTGTTAGATATATGATATGAAGTGGGTCTCAGATCGGACAAGAAGCACAGCATTAAATTCTGTTTTTTCCTGCCATGTTTTTAAAATATGACAAGTTATTTTATCTCAGTATTTTCAATGTAATATCTGCACTAGCCTGTTGCTACGGACGGCGCTAGTGATTACAACAGTCTTTCATCTCGTTTTACGCTTGAACAACTAAATGAATGCTTAAGTCTATTTAACTGAATGTACTGTAATTACATTACAACATCGATGCTGTAAAAACAACCTTGTGAAATTAAAAATAGTCACATTAAGCTTTCACCGGCAGTTCATTGTTAGCTTTAAAACTCTAGCTGTGCATAGAACCCATAGAGGGTAGATGTGAGTGCTGGTTAGCCCCCTACAATTCCTTACTTGCTGGGACTTTTGCATCACACGTTTAACTGTCTAACCATTAAGTCAGTGAGTCTTAAATGTTCTTATAGTGAGTCTTTCATGCAGATATATCTCCTCAGGTCTTAGGATAATTTTGCATTCAGACGTTTATGTCAAACATATCTTTATATAAGTTCAGTATTGTTGTTGCAGATGAAAAATAAGACAGAAATGCTATTTAAATATTGACCAGTTGGCTTGATATTATTAACTATCAGTCAAACAAACATCTTTACTGAAACCTCTCAATTTTATGGTTGGTCTTGGGCATCCATCATGTTTGTAGTTCATTTACACCTTTCGTTTGTAGTTCTAATCAAATTCACATCCAATGTACTGTGGGCAATATCAGTGGTTAGAGTATGGACGGTTCTACACTTAAAATTTTTACTGGAAATAGTAAACCATCCAGGAACCAACATACTACAATTTGGGACATACACTTTCTATTTATAAATGCTGTTTAAGATTTCGGAGGCAGCAAGTGTGCACATTGTTTAGCACATTAATTAACTGTAATTGTAATACTTTACACTGTACTATCTTTCAAACCAGGTTTAATCATTTAAAATGTACTATATTATTAGTAGGGTTATTTATTCTTTTATATATTTAATAAAGAAGGGAGAATGCTTGTGTATATATATATATATATATATATATATATATATATATATATATATATATTTATTTATTTATTTATATAAATATATATATATATATTTATTTATATATATATATATATATATATATAAATATATATATTTATATATATATATATATATATTATATATATATATATACATACATACATCCACATATATATACAGTTACAGTGAATTGTGATTGAAGATTTTTTGATTGAAGAACTTTTTTTTCCCAATTCGATACTTTACTTTCATTTTAACATGTTTTCTATGTATGTAAAATGACACATTTTATTTGATGCAAACACCAAAATGGAATTTTTCACTTTTGACCTTAACATTAGATTTAGAAAAATGACAATATTTCTTAGCTCACATCAGTTTCATTTCCAGCTATTGTGTAAACATAGGGTTATATAAAATATAAAAGTAGGGTTATTTATTCTTTTATATATTTAATAAAGAAGGGAGAATGCTTGTATATATATATATATATATATATATATATATATATACATACATACATACATCCACATATATATACAGTTACAGTGAATTGTGATTGAAGATTTTTTGATTGAAGAACTTTTTTTTCCCAATTCGATACTTTACTTTCATTTTAACATGTTTTCTATGTATGTAAAATGACACATTTTATTTGATGCAAACACCAAAATGGAATTTTTCACTTTTGACCTTAACATTAGATTTAGAAAAATGACAATATTTCTTAGCTCACATCAGTTTCATTTCCAGCTATTGTGTAAACATGCTTTGCAGTATGTAGCAAGCATTTCAACTCGCCATTTTTTGCCTTGTTCGCTGATAGGTTGAAAAGATTATTTCAGAAAAGGTTGGGACTGCAGTCGAGCAGTCTGACTACAAGATGAAAAATCTGATGGAGAGGATCAGTGAGGTGAATGGTGAACCCAGATATGATGCCAGAATCAAAAGTCTAGAAGTAAGTGGTCAGATTTCCCAATTTTTAGTAATAACACAGTTTGTTTAAAGGCACCTTTCTGGCAACTCCAGAACCCTATACAATAAAACAAGAGCAATAAAACAAATAATAGAAAAGTATACACAAAAATAGTGCAGATACAATCAAGTATTAAAAGCCACCTTAAGTAAGTGAGTTTTGAGACTTGTTTTTAATAGTAGTTTAGTCCTCTTTTGTTCTATCTATAAAAAAAAAAGTCATGTATTAAAATTTCCTTGTTGGCGGCGCAGTCAGTAGCACTGTTGCTTTACAGCAAAAAGGTCACTGGTTCGAGCCTCGGCTGGGTCAGTTGCCATTTCTGTATGGAGTTTGCATGTTCTGCCCGTGTTCGTGTGGGTATCCTCCGGGTGCCCTGGTTTCCCCCACACGTTTAAAGACATGATGCGCTATAGATGAATTGGGTAGGCTAAATGTTTTCAGTGTATGTGTACGAATGAGAGTGTATGGGTCTTTTCCAGTGATGGGTTGCAGCTGGAAGGGTTTCCACTGCGTAAAACATATGCTGGATAAGTTGGCGGTTCATTCTGCTGTAGCAACTCCTGATTAATATAAGGACTATGTATGCCATTGCTACCACTATATATTTTCTCTTTGCTTTTAGGCCCATGTAAGAAAAATAAAACGAAGAGGAGATGCTGTATTTGCATATATCAGAAAATGCAGGTCTCTGGGGATTTCTCATAGTCAGGTATGAACTGAGATTTTATTGTTAAAAAGCTGAATTGCATTTTTGTGTGTGCAACTCATCACTCTTGTGTTGTTTTTATCTTCTTAACAGTTTCTTCCTTCTTTAAGCCCTTCTTCTGGACAGCCACAGCGATGCATTTCTCCAGCTGAATCGCTAATTAATACCTCCAGGTATTTTGCAATATTTTATGCATGTTACAGTCTTGATTCATGAAACATCAGTGAATAAAATATAGCCTATGAAGGATTTTCGATTTTCTGTGTTAGTTTAGATGCATGTACTGCATAGGTTTTAATGCTGCAGTCTGATGCCTTTCCATTCTGTTTGGGAAATGGTGCAGTGGCTGTGTGCCTGCTGTTTGAATGACAATAGCTAAAATATTCCATTTACTGTTTAATCAGAACATATTCTAATAGAGTGATCAAAGTGAAATCATCTCAGTGCTCCCCTGTGGATCTTTTTCTTTTCAGTCGGTTGTTTTTTTAATTCAGTAATGATTCAAGGCTGCAGTCTTGGCACCTTTCCATTTCTTTTCTTTCCCCGAGGTGCTGCATGCCGAGTGGCGTTCCTTCACTTTCATGTGTGGCTGTTGCAGTTCTTATAAACTAGTGTGCTTCACTAGGAAGGCGTTCATTGCAGCTTAATGTTTGTGTTCCAAGGCCGACAAAGCAGACGCATTCAACCCATTGATTACAGCTATTTGTTTTCCTAGCCATCTGCTTAATTGGTGAATTACTGCAGTCACGATTCACTGTAAGAACTGAAGTGTGATGGACAGAAACTGGGAATGTCTGACTGCCTTGCAGTGATTTAAATGTAACAAAAATAATGATTTTACATGATATAAGAGAAGGCTTTTGCACAAAAATCATGAGCATTGTAAACAGTGAAAGAATAGTAAAAAAGGCATTGTTTTTATTGTGAAATCACTGTAAATTTATTAGCACTTAATTTACAATTAATGGTGGTCAATACAGAAAAGCTATGGACACTCCTAAAAGCGTGTGATGTCATACGAAGAGAATGGCTAGTGAATTAAATGAATTTGAGCATCTCAAAATAAAAAAAAATATTCTGTGCAATATGTATATTAAATTAGAGTTTAGTGGTTTATTAAGAGATTTAAGAGATACATTTTTAAGTGAGTGTTGGGTAACCAATTCGTTCACTCCATTATTTATTTTTAACAGAGGTTCAGTCAACGGAGGATCTATTAGTGACAACGCTTCGGTGTCATCAGCAGGTCATGTTTCTATTACCATCATAGTATTTTAACTGCTAAAACATTTGTATTATAACCTTATATAACTAAAGTGATTGTTTTTACATAAATAGACAATGATGGGGATGTGACACTGAGAAGACCAAAGGAAGGCTTCTGGCAGAGTTTGGTAACTATTTTTGTCATTGTTTTTAATCTCTTTAATAATCACTTGGTTTTTGTGTATTGGAGGATTTTATTAGAATTGCAACATCTGACTCATTTTATTTGGGTAGACATAAATGGTCTGTGCTGGAGAAAATAGCCTACTGATGTTTATATGTAAACCTAAAAATAGTTTTTTTTTTTTTTTTATTATTTCAGCGGTCTAAGAAAAAGGTTGTTGACCTTACAGAAGAAGACAAAGGTATTTGATCTTGCTTTGTAGTCAAATTTTATTTAAAATGCTGGACTGTTGTGTTGACTGTATTTTGTGTTTGTGTTGTGGTTCAGGTTCAGCTCCCAGATCGAATGAAGAGAGACTGGTTGCCCAGACATCAGACCAGGTATGCCAAAAACTAATTTTAGAGCCATTTCCAAATTCTTTCTTTCTTTCTTTCTTTCTTTCTTTCTTTCTTTCTTTCTTTCTTTCTTTCTTTATTAATTTATTTCCCGTTTGTTAGTTTGTTTCTCACAATTAATACTTTTTTTCCGCATGATTACAATTTGCATCTTATAATTCAGAATTGATAGTTTACTTTTCCCAATGGGGCTTTTTTTTTCTTGGGGAAAAAACATTTAATTTTGCATCTCATAATTCAACTTTTTCCCTGTTATATTTATATTTAACAGCTGAATGTTTACATTTCACAATTGCAAGTTTTCATATCACAATTTGTACTATTTTCAATTGTGAGTAGATTTCTTACAATTGTAAGTTCACATTTCTGTGTATTGTTTTTTTTCCTTTGCTTTGGAATTTTGAGTGTAGTTAATACGATGGTGATTTTTCTGAAACTTTTCTGTCTTTGTTTTTGCTTTGTTTATGTTTGTCAGTGATTTACAATAATAATACATTTCATTCTCTCAGTTCAAGCTTTTCTCATTATCATAAGCTCATATTGTGATTTGATATAACAAATTTGAGGGGAAAATTAAGTCTTGATATGTTGCACATATTATAACAATTCTGTTTTCAAATCTGTGCCCTGCAGAATTTGAAACCCTCTAAAAAGTCGAAACCCTCAAGCACTCCACCACCTATAGCCATTAAAGGTATGATAACATTGAATTAATCATGTTTATCATAGTTTCATTCTAGAAATATAATTAATGCAAGTCACTAACAGCTTTCTTATATTACATTTCTTAAACAGAAGAAAATCCAAGCAATACAGAGGAGGACCGTGTCACTTCCTCGGGACAGTTTGAAGAAGTATGCAAATATTTTCCACTACACCAAAGAGTTTTACATCAAAATATCCATTTACATGTACCTTTCATTCATAGGAGGACTGGCATACCAAACTACATCCATTTCCAGACACTCCATTTCCCAAGGAGCTTCCGGTTGCAGCGGCTTCTTATAACTTGCCCCAGAAACCAGTACTGAAACTAGCTCGAATTGGAAGTGCGCAAGAACTGAGCATCGCGTGGAACGTTGAGCGGAAAGATCCCCACGCGGCTGAGATGAATTGCTACCACATTTACGTTTCCCATGAACACAAAAACGGCACGTTCTCTCCATGGAAGTGCCTTGGTGTGATCAAAGCCATGCCTCTTCCTATGGCCTGCAAGGTGTCTCACTGCAAAGGAGATAAACGACTGTGTTTCATCATTGTGGGAAAGGATATTTTTGGCCGTTTTGGTCCATATAGTGACATCCGTACCGTTGCACGGGGATAGATATGATTTCGGTGACACTTCTTGAGTGGGTAGAACTCATTGTTCAAGTTCGGATTGTTCAGCAAGGATTAATGTGAAACTTTATACTGAAATATGGAGTAAATATTTTTTTTAAAATGTTTGAATTTCCTAAAAGACGTTGCGTTTGCTTAAAAAAATAAAGTTAAAGCTGCTAGTTTATGCTTTCAGTTTTTGTATTTTTTGTTGTTTTTTCGTACTAGGCATACGGGTTATGTTCATCAAAGGTCATTTTGTCTTGTATTTGAATGTCACATAGAAGTATTACGAAAGAAGTTGTGGTCTTGTGTTGTTTTTATTTGTTATAAAGCTACAAACTGATTTAGTTTGTATCTGGCTTTCGTAAAATGAGGTCTTAAGTGGTATGAGTCAACAAAGCAATCACTAGCCATAATAGACTGGAGTGGAATCCTATTGTCTAATGTAAGTGTCAGAAAAGCAATTCAGAGACGATATTTGTTTCCTGTAATGACTGCATTTGAGGATTTTACTTCACGCTGCTGCTGAAATGACATTCAGCTCAAATGAAACGCTGAGGAACTGCACATTTTGTTTGTCTTCTTCATCTGACACACCTGATTCATCTCACCAGCTCATTAGTATACCTGAATTCTGTGTGGAAGACTTGAGTTGAATGTGTGCTGGTAAGGTAGGAATGCAAATTGTACAGGATTAAAACATCTGTCCTGAGGTCTGCTGTACAAAACGCGTTGAACCATCTCTGGGGTGGAAAGTAAGTTTTGAGTTGCTAAATCCAATGTGGTTAAAATTGTGGTTTCACAACGCTTGATATAATTTTCAAGGTTTAATCCAGAGTTTGTAATGGGGTATATGCACACAGACTTTTAATTTCAGTCAGCAAGCCCCAGGGCTTTAGGTTAATTGTCATCCCATACAATATAGCTGCGTTTAAGATCTGATTTCTTAAAAAAAAACATAAAATAAATAGCAATTTTCACTGCATGGCTGAGATATGATAAATAGTGGGTATCAAGCCAAACAAGAAGCACAGCATTACATTTCCCCACCATCTTTGAAATATGGCAACTAATTTTACCTCAGTAGCCTAGTTTTAATAAAATTTCTGCACTAGCCTGCTTCTAACGACGGCGCTAACATTTAAAAGGTCTTTTGTCTCTTTACGCTCAAGTATATTTAATTGATTATATTTTAATTACATTACAGCATCGATGCTTTAAATTGAAAATAGTCACACAAAGTTTTCACCGGAAGTTCATTGGTTGAAAAACACGAGTGCATTAACTGGACCACTGGAGCAGCAAACAGCTGTTTGACACGACACCTGAGAGGGTTAGTTGGTTTGATTTATTTCTCTTTTGAACATTAAACAATATTGTTAGGTAACATACATTTAAAGGCATTTTCAAGGCAGATATAAACACATGAGGGGAAAAAAAACTGCTAACGCTTCTGAACTAAGAAATGTAGCCGCAAACTAGTAGTGACTAGTGAGTATGCTTATTTACACTTATTTTGAATAATTACTTTTCAAACTCGAAGAAAGGTATTGTGTATACACACACTGCATGAATGAAATGTATGTTTTGTTGTTATTGTCACGTGACCTACCAGCGTCGGTCTTATCCAAAGGTCTTACCACTTTAGTGCCATTCATAAATTCTGCCCCGTGGCCCGTGGGATAGTAAAGTGTCCATTGAATGAACACTTCAGAACCTCACCTCTCTTTGCCCAATCGTTTATGAGCACTATAAATTTAGACATACTACTTTGGTTACATACTGGATTTTACCTGCTATATAGTGTTTGAGTTTCTGCAGCTAAACCTTGATATTAGAAAAAAATCTGCATTAGTTTGAAACACAATCCCTTTGTATGGTTTCATTAAGTTATTACAGTTTTTCTCCATTGGACTCATTTCTTAAAACGCAAATTATCATTTGACAAAACAGTGTTTCAGTTTACCACAGCATTAGCTCACTTGCAAAAGCTCATACCTTTCCCAAAACAGTTCACTCGTGTCAAAACTAAATTTCCTTCTCATTTAAACAGTCAGTGCCCCCAAAATGCTTCGTCCCTTTGGCATTGTGTAAGGACTGCTAGTCAAAATGTTTAGATGTTTGTCATTATTTTTTGTATTTGTCTAGCTAACAGAATAGTATAAAACTGAAAAAGAAATAGGATTTTAGGGTAAGAGTAGCCGCTATGGTTTGACATCACAAGAAGTGTCACAGAAGTGCCATTTGCACCCTTGCATTTTTCCAGGCACTTACTGTATATAAAATGCAGGGTTAATATCATTACATTAAATGTAACATTTTACAAATAATGCCTTTTATTTCGTGCTTGCCTTAGGTTTTGAATCATACTGGTTTCCATACGAATGACTCTGCAGTATTATGGAGGGGCTTGCTTTACAGTACATCAGTGTTTTGTGTTCATCATCAAAGCATAAAAAAGCCTCAAGACAGTTTGTTTTAATGTAAAATACATTTATTTGATTTAAAAAAGAACAATATTGAGCCCTTAATGGGATCAGTCTCCAGAAACAGAGCAGACCTGAACAAGTCAGCAGACATTTAAAAACAAAGCTGCCATTGTGGTTTCATTTCCGATTACAAAAGCCTTCTTTAAAATGAATTAAACCTTCAGAAAAGTGAGCATTAAACAACCATGTTCAGGCCTGTTGATATAATACTTCATTACAAAAAACAATATTAACAGCAACAATGCAGTTAGTCTTAATAAATACAGCTTAACTTCACTTTCGCCTAAATGATTTTAGCTAGTTGCTTTTAATTCCATAGCAGATTTGAGGACGAAAATATAAAAGGGTTAGTTCGCCCAAAAATCAAATATCTGTCATCATTTATTCTCCTGTTACTTATTTGAGTTTCTATTGAACACAGATTAAGTTCTTCTAAAGAATGCTGGTTGGTGGTACCCATAGGCTTCCATGGTAATTTATTTCCTACTATGGAATCAATGGTACACCATTTTTCAAAGTATCTTTTTTTTTTTTTTGTTCAACAGAAAAAAGAAACTCATACAGGTTTGAAACCACATGAGGGAGAATATATCGTGAGGTAAATTTAATTTCTGGGTGATCTGGTCCTTTCAGACAAGAAAACTGAAACCACTGGTGTGCTTCACCAACACCTTCATCCTACGGTTATTATTTGCATGAATATGACAGAAATCCCAAGTGCCCTAATCAAACACAACGCCTAAAAAAAACCTACAGATCTGTACTTATGTTAATAATGATTTCATATTAAATGCTGCAAACAAATAAAAACATGCAATATAATTAATTAGTCAACACTAAAAGACTATTTTACATAAAAACAAAAACTATACACGAGAACACATCGTGCCACTACTATCGACAATTTGTTCAGCTTCAAGTATGATATAGTGCTCTGCAAACTGGCAGCACGATATTTCATATTTTGTTGGTTTTAATGACTTCTTCCCAGCCACACACAATGACCCGGAAATATCACAATAACATGTTATTTAATACAAACTGCCAACTTCACACCATTCACGTCAAGCCCATAGTGGTTCCATTTTATAAATATGTCCTATTATATCTGCCTCTCCTGTCTTATTCTATTCCTCTCTAAATCACAAGATTCTAAAAAATGTGACACTCTTAACAAAATCTAATTATGTTTCCAGTATGCAGTGAGTAATATTACAAGTTGACTTACTTTGGCAAGTACACTACCAGTCAAAAGACTTTTGTTTTTAATGTAATTAAAAGAAGTATCTTCTGCTCATCAAGGCTGCATTCATTTAATAAATAATACAGTAAGATATGTAAAAAAATAATATAATAATAGCATGTGGTAGTTAAAGTGTAATTTAATCCTGCACTGTGAAACATATTGCTGCCTTACAGGATTCGTTCACAAATTAGTTTTATTTATTTTATAAACATTATAAATTTATTTCACTGTTGTAAAACTGAATGGGTCCTTAGAGTAAAATTAAATACATTAGTAACTGTACTTATGAATGGAACTGAATGTATAGTGCTGACTGCTACAGTTTCTACAAAAAGATAAGGCACTTCAATTCTGATAATAATAATAAAAATAATAATAATAATAATAATTTTCTTGATAATCATATTATAATTTCCCAGTGATGGGTTGCAGCTGGAAGGGCATCCGCTGCTTAAAAATATATGCTGGATAAGTTGGCAGTTCATTCTGCTGTGGCGACCCCAGATTAATAAAAGGACTAAGCCAACAAGAAAATCAATGAATGAATCATAATATAAGGATTACTAAAAACTGAAGTAATGATGCTGAAAATTCCACTTTTCATCATGGAAATAATTTACATTTTAAACTACTTTCACTAACAAAACTCTCATTTAAAATAGAATTAATATTTAACATCTATTTATACAGTTTTACTGTATTTTTGATCAAATAAATGCAGTCATGGTGAGCAAAATTCTTTGAAAAATGTAAACAAAAAAAACAAAAAACTGATCCCAGACTTCAGACCGGTGGTGAATTTTCTGTTTTTATCTACTTTTAAAAACAAGTTTTATTAGAATTCGAGTGTCTTGGCTAAGGCTGCAGATGGTGAGGTGGTATGTTGCACTTTTATTTGCGTTTTCTCAGCACTAGATACATCAGGCCACTCAGCAGCGTCATTGGGAACGCGACCCAGGCCACAACGAAGGAGTAGCCATACTCTGCATTCTTAAACTCCTGGCCATTGAAGGTTAAGCCCTCTGCTGTGTAGATAGAAGCACCGGTCATCACACAGAAAGCTGCGGGTTTAAAGATGAAAAGAAGATTTAGGAAGGTTTTTTTGTAGGTCTGTTATATTAATACAGACTTAACATTCAACAAAAGTTTCATTGAGTTTACAGTTCATAGTCATGTGTTTGAGTAAAACACAATTTTAGTTTTGTTCTGTAAACTGCTGATTTATATCACATTAGTGTCACATTCATCACATAATGCAAAATAAAATGTCACGCGTTACTTCAGAAGAGTTAGGAAATATTTGAATGGAATATCTGATAATAAAACACAACACAAACATTATCTGGTACTCTGAGCTATTGTTTTTGGGGAAAATGCTTTAAACGGCAACGTGTTTGGAAGATTGTTCCAAAGAACTGTTTTCAAGCATTTAATGAATAAATCTAAACATTTTGCCCAAGCTAATACCTAATAATGGGACAGAAATAAGTAAATGAAATTGTATATAATTACAGTTGAAGTCAGAAGTATAAGCCCCCTGTTTATTTCTTCCCCCAATATCTGTTTAACAGAGAAAATATTTTTTCAACACATTTCTAAAAACAATAGTTTTAGTAGCTCATTTCTAATAACTGATTTATTTTATCTTTGCCATGATGACAGTTAATAATATTTGACTAGATATTTTCAAGACACTTTTATACAGCTTAAAGTGACATTTAAAGGCTTAACTAGGTTAATTAGATTAACTAGGCAGGTTAGGGTAATTAGGCAAATTATTGTATAACAATGGTTTGTTCTGTAGACTATCAAAAAATAGCTTAAAGGGGCTAATAATTTTGACCTTAAAATGTTTTTAAAAAAATTAAAAGCTGCTTTTAATTTTAGCCGAAATAACAGAAATAAGACTTTCTCCAGAAGAAAAAATATAATTAGTCATACTGTGAAAATGTCCTTGCCCTTTTAAACATAATTTGAGTAATATTTAAAAAAGAAAAAAATATATATATTCTTATAATTCTGACTTCAACTGTATATGTCTGTATATGAAGAGTTCAGATGCAAAAATCTCTAAATGCCATCTGAATTTTTCTTTTAAAATTAGCATTTTTATCAGACTCCTGTATGTAGGTTTCATAATATCACTTTTATTACAATACATAAGTCCTTTTCAGGGTCTTTAAAGTTGAATAACTCAACATTAACTAAGGAGGTTGAGAAAAACTTTCATTTTTGATGTAAATTTCAGACGGCTCTTGGAACTCTTCACATATATATATTTAAAGTTCAATATTGTATAAATAATGTAACTATTAATAAAAAAAAAACTATTATGATACAAAAATAAATAAAGCAAGTCCATAAAAGTTACTCCGATTTACAGACTGAAAGATTGACCAAAAAGAGTAAACCACACTAATTCAATAAAGACTACACAAGTGCATGTGATACTAAAATAGCACTGGTCCTCTTGGCTTGACATGTGGCCTAATGACTGCTGTGCGTGCATGCATGTGTGTGTGTGTGTGTGTGTGTGTGTGTGTGTGTGTGTGTGTGTGTGGACTCACCAGACAGAAGCTGAATTATGGCCGTGAAGACGAATCTCTCTCCCTGCTTTAGACGGAAGAGCTGAAGAATGAAAACAAAGAATCCCACACAGCACAAGATGGTGGCCAGTATCATGGTGGCCTGCACTGCCTGAAGATATGCTGATAAAGACAAAGACAACAAACACAAGGTTTGAAATGGGCAGAACTTATCTATATAGTGCAGTCGTAAAAGCAGCACACAAAATACAGTTTAACTGTTAACTAACATAAGATTGGCTGTTCACCAAACTTTGTTTTTTAGTCCGAGTGAGATTCAGTACTCAAATCACAATAAGCGGCAGTAAATGTCTGCTTCTGGCCATCGATATGCGTAAGTTGTGATGTATGGAACAGTTAACAAGTCCAAGTCTCTACTCACTTGAAAAATAAAAAAATAAAAAAATTCAATAGCCATTTATAACCACTGTTGAGTCACAGATTAAAGTTTTCACATCAAAATTGATGGTGTTTTTTACTATTTCTACGTCGAAGGATAATTTACAGTCTGCTAGTCTGAGATTAAGCATGGAAAGAAACATTATGATAAGGATTTTAATAGTGTTTAAGCGCACTATTTTGGGATCTCGTTTGGCATCTTATAAAGTATCTTACAGAGCACTCGGACCTGGAAACTGTGGCACATTTCAGAATTAACAAGTGGATAAGCAACTTTAAATAATGTCATATAGACCATTTTAATGGGGTCATGTGATTGGCCCATGAACATTTCCTGCTTGTTATTAAACTATTTTGTAACAAGAGGCAATTCAATAATAACTTAATGCTAAAACAGCATAACATTGACTATCAATAGGTAGCTCTTTTTAAATTCTCAGAAGCTTTGGAAATTAAAAATGTAAAACAGGAAATATGTTGGGACCATTGTTTTTGTTTGCATCCCTCAAAATGGTCTATGAGCCAACATTTCATTAAGCCCTATTAAAAGAAAATAGTGTGCATTTTATCAAGACTTACTGAAAATGGAGGCCTACCTGCGTCATAAGTTGCACTTTTGGGAATATCATAGCAGGCTGTGGTGTTGCAGTTATACCAGAGATCCATAGAGAAGTCGCCTTTAATCCTCCATGCCTTGAAAAAACAGTGAAAATACCAACACACTTTTATTTCAAAGATTCTTTTGTCAAAATGTGTATGCAATGTTTTTCCCATACAAACTAATGCAAACACTACCCACCATTTAGAGATTCAGCGAACAGTTTCTTGTGTATTAGTGTGTTCGTCATGTGAATAAATGTTCTATAAATGTTGTTATAGCACTAGTTAACAGATAGTAGGACTGCATTGTTTCTGGAATGTACTTTACTGGGTATTTTGATGGTCCATTTGAGTATTAGACTGTCTGCTTAATATCTGCTGATACAGCTCCTTCAACAAACATTTAACTGACTATAAGAAACTTTGTAAGTACATGTCAACTTACACTAACCCTAACCCCAAACTAACAGTCTACTTATAATGAGAATTAGTTGGCATGTAGATGCAATGCAACTGAAATTCAACAAACGAACCATCAAAATATAGTGTGATCCTTTGCTGAACTGAAAACAAGATGGATTCCTCTAAATTACTGGTCAATAAGTGTTATAAAGATTACATTTTATTCTGTTCATTGCTGGACATAATTCAAATTATTTATTGTAAAAAAGAATTGTTGAAATGTTGAATTTTAATTATTATTTGTATTTATATAGTGTTTTCATAATGCCTTATCAGTTGGCTATGATAAAAAGCAGAACGTAAACACTGCCACTGAAACAAACAATGCTTTATGCATAAATCAGCATATTTTGCTGATTACTGCTGATGAAAATCATCAATAGTTGTCATGTTTTGGCTGGACTAGTCAATTAAATGGAAAAAATATTCAAATCAAGCAGACTTGAAGTCAGTTTCTCAGAATATTGCATGTTCTCCCTTTTCCTTTTTACTAAGTCATTCGCTATGTGATTTGGCAGCATTCAGAGTTTTTTCATAGTTTTGACAACATAGTAGATAACCATGATATCCAATGCTGGTGTTTACATTGAGTATCCCCATCAAGGCCGTGCCCTGACAAAATTGTAACGTATGTGAAAATGCTCAACTAAATACTTTATTTGGTTTAATTTCAATAATTAAAAAGCACCATATCATTGGTAGTCATACAGGGCAGTCTTATTTTATCAAATTTAAGTTTAGCATAAAGCATTAAAGATTAGCAGACAGGCAGCTGACTCATTGATTAATTCATAAGCTGACAAAAGTCTTTAATCCAGAGTAGTGGAGCCCTTCCTCCATTCACACCCATTCAAAATAGTTTTAGCATTCACACTTTTGGTTTTACGGTTGAAGGTTGCAGGTTGTCTTTAGATTGAGCTTAATTAACTGGTTTGACCATATGATTGCACAATTTGAACTTGATCCCACCAGATTCAGTTTCAGATGTTTGTCTTTAAACAATCCTGCATGAATTGTGTGTATGAGTAAAACACAGCAAGTTTAAGCAGTATCACAACATGATCTGAATATTCGGACTGCTAGAAAGTTAAAACAGCTAAATGAATTTTAATTTTGTAAACTGGATTTTATCAGTAACTTAGAAGCGTACCCGTGTATGACCTCAGAGAAACATGATGCAGTTGCTAATAGTACCATAGAGCAGTAATAATGATTAACACAGACTAATTAACCAACTCACAAAAATCAGCTTACATTATTGATGGTTGCTATGAAGAGTAGTATTGCTGAGGTGATATGGAAGAGGATGATGAAGGCCAAAATAACCAACATGGTTGATGGTGGAACAGAAAGTCAAAAGCAGAAGGATCTAGAAAAAAAGAAAGACACATGAATATTATAAGCATCCTGTAGAATAAATTCACAGATACTGTACACACGAGAGCTAAGAGTATTAGTATGCACTCCTCTGGGTTTGGTGGGAAAATAAACATGTGCACATTTGAACAGTCACTTTTTACTCTGATTTTTGACCTCAGGTGCACTTTTCCACTACTATTTTTCCACTTTTTATTGATTTCATAATACAAATCAGGTGGCACGGTGGCTCAGGAGTTAGCACTGTCGCCTCACAGCAAGAAGGTCTCTGGGTCGAGTCCCGGCTTGATCAGGAGGCATTTCTGTGTGGAGTTTGCACATTCTCGTGGGTTTCCTTTAGGTGCTCTGGCTTCCCACACAGTCCAAAGACATGCGTGATAGGTGAACTGAATAAACTAAATTGGCCATAGTGTATGTGTGTAAATGAGAGTGTATGGGTGTTTCCCAGCACTGGGTTGCAGCTGGAAGGGCATCTACTGTGTAAAACATGTCCTGGGTTCATTCCGCTGTGGTGATCTCAGATGAATAAATGGACTTGAATGAATGAATAAAATGAATTACATTTAAGGATTGCAAAAAAAAAAAAAGAATGTCAATGGCAAGAAATCAAAGGACCCACATTCCTGGATCCATTTGATATCTACATTAGCTTGTGTGATTTAAAAATGACAGCTACTCTTAATGCATGTATTAGTTTAAGTAACTGCCAATCACAACATGTACTCACACATTACAAAAAATTGAAACTTGTATTCATTAATATTATATAATAGACATGAGCCTACATGATATCAAACTACTACTATTGATATCAAAGATTTATAATAAGTATTGCTTATTTTAAGCTATTGTTGGTTAATTTTGCTTTAGATATCTTGCACTGTCAGCAACAAAAAATACATTCATTCATTTTCTTTTCGGCTTAATGCCTTTATTAATCTGGGGTCGCCACAAGGGAATGAACCACCAACTTATCCAGCATATGTTTTACGCAGCGGATGCACTTCCAGCTGCAACCCATCACTGGGAAACATCCATACAGTCATTTACACGCATATACTATGGTCAATTTAGCTTACCCAATTCACATACACCACATGTTTTTGGACTGTGGGGGAAACCAGAGCACCTGCTGGAAACCCACGCAAACACGTGGAGAACATGCAAACTCCACAGAGAAATGCCAACTGAACTAGCTCGAACTAGCGACCTACTTGCTGTGACTTGATTGTGCTACCCACGGCAACACCGTGCTGCCTATACAACAAAAAATTATTATTTAAATAATTATTTAAAACATTATAGTCAAATTAAACATGTAAAACTATTTAGTTAAGCCATGAGACCTTATGATTTGTGTTGTAGAAGCTACACTAAAATAATCTGACATAAATATTTAAGTTTAATCAAACTAACTTTGCAAGTCATTTCATCTTGCATCAATTAAACTGACTTAAAGCGTCAAGTAATAAATAAATTATTATATTCAAGTAATTCAACTTATTAAAATTCAAGTAACAAAAACATGTTGTCGTTAATTTTTTATCATATAGTTTTTTATTCTTTATTTATAATGCCTTTGCTGTTTGATTTTATTATAAATATTTCTGATTCTTCCTCATTTAAGCTTCTTTTTTTTTTTTTTTTTTTTGCTGAAAAACACAGTCAGCTTCCACCTACGTCACACACGTGAGTGAACTGCTAATTTAGCTTTCCGTGATTCACTGCAGCACAGCCACATACAGACAGCCTATATATATCCCAGCCCTGCACCACAGCCGCTCCGAGCCATTTATGAATGGCCTTTTCCCCCCTTCACCTTGTATAGTGGGTGCTAGTTTATACTAGATGTGAGAAAGCCATTTTTTGCACTGAAATGCTTTAATGCTCAGTACTTGAGGATACAATAAATAATAAAAAAAGACACCCCAAAGGAAAAAAAATATGCTCCATAATATTGTTGTAAAATAGATCACATTTACAAAACCATACACAGCGAACAGTGTTTCAGTTTGTCAGATAACACAATTCTTTACAAGGTTAGATATGTTAATATAGACAAGCCTTAAACTCTGAAATACAAGACATTTTCTGAAGATAAAAGAGGTGTATTACTGAAGGATTTTGCAGATCTTAGTTTGTAGAGTTCAGAATAGGCTTGGTGTGAATGAATGTATGAAAATGTATGGGTCTTTTCTTGTTATTAGACAAGAGCACAAAAAAGGTGAAAAGAACAAAGTGAAAGAAAACACATATTCTTAAAATAAAGTACCAATGAGAACCTGCAGCTTTCACATGTTAAAGTGAAAGTTTTCTTAATCAAGATTAAGCTGTTTTGCTCTCTGTGTATGTGGTGTTATGATCATCCAACCTGACCTGAGGTGGCGCCATTGAGCTAAGATACAAAACGCTTGCAGCATTATAAACAAGCATCTATCAGAGTGATTATATTAGGTTTTTACATCTCTGTAAAAAAAAAAAACTAGGAGACTACTTCGAAGTTATCTTAATAAAATGTTCAGTTGTGCTTTATTTTATAAACTGCTGATAATGTGTTTTCAACATTTAAAACAATATTCAGATCACTTTTAGTAATAATTTGTAACAACAGGTTAATATAATAATGACATTTGTTTAGAGTTACAACCTCGCAATATTCAAGGTTTGAAAACTTGTAATATCTATAAAATATAGAAAGTAGTTCATAAGATAAGACCTAAAGTATCATTTTACTTATAATAAAAATGATACTTATACTATCATTTAGTCATGACATACTTATAATGGCAAATAAGACAGACATACAGATTTTTATTTTAATATAAATTAATAATCCCCCCCAAAAATTAACTATCATTATCTCATCGCAAATCAGAAAACATGTCAAAAATGGCAAATGTCAAAGCTTCATCAAAATTAAACGATAATAAAAATATTAAACATGACTTTCAAGGAAAGACATTTATTTATTTATTTATTTATTTTTATTTTTATTTTTTTTAAGATGATAAAAAGTCAACAACATGCGTAGAAGCTAACGTGACAGTTTTTATTATTGAGTGGTCTGTCCCTAAAAAGGATGTGGCACTTGAGCGGTGCAGTTTAGGCGGGAAAATGGTGAACGTGGAAAGGGTTTCGCTTTCAGCTCAGCAGCAGCTTAAGAGAAGTCAGAGAAAAAAAGCACAATGTGGGCTGGTAGCTACAGGAGGATGCTCATCCAGATGTTTTACAATCACAAGCCTGAAAAATCTTTTCACGGTTACTCTTAAGGTCAGCGAAGGTACTGTGAAGCAAATCAAGGGTGGGTTTTAATAGAGACGGAGAATGTTGGTCATGTAGTAGAAGTTCTCTGGAGACTGTCATTACCTCGGGCTCTGTACATTAGCTGTCTGTCTTTGGGAAGAGTGTAAAGTGGGAGGCTGGTCTCATTAAAACGCAGTGTATCGTGGTCTCGGTTCACATATGTTGTTCATTTTCTCTGCAGCTGCCTTCCTGTGCTCTGCTGAGGGGAGGAACCAGGGGAGGAGAACCGTGAGACCAAAAACTCAAAACACCATGCCCACAAATCTGCGATTTGAACCAGGAAATGTGTTGAGCAGATGATTCAGATGCCATGAATACATTCAAGGGATACTTAGACAATATGTATGTGATTTTTTTCTCTCTCAGTTGAACACTAAAGAAGAATTTGTCCACTGCCACAATACTTTTTTCTTCATAGTAGAATATTAATAACTTCCTAAAAATTCATTTTATATTTAATATTTTAAATGAATTGAGGGTGAGTAAATGACAAAGTATATTTGATGAATTATTCATTTTCATAGATTCAATTAAATGGTTTAATCTAACATTTTAAAGTTGGCAAGAAATTACAATTCTCACTATATGTTTGTTACAAGTATAGTTCACCCAAAAACTTGAATTCTGTTGTCATGACTTGTTTCAAATTATTTTGAGATTGTTTTTCTTCTTCTGTGGAGCACAAAAGAAGATACACTGAAAAATGTTGGAACCCACAGTTACTATTGATATTCGTTCATTTTCTTTTTAGCTTAGTCCCTTATTTATCAGGGGGTTGCCACAGCGGAACGAACTGCCAACTTAGCCAGCATATGTTTTACGCAGCGCCTTAGAGTTGACCTTAGAGCTGCATCCCCTCACTGGGAAACATCCTTACACTCTCATTTACACCCATACACTACGGACAATTTATCTTACCCAATTCACCTATAGCGCATGTCTTTGGACTTGTGGGGGAACCGGAGTGCCCAATGGAAACCCACGCCAACACGGGAAGAACATACAAACTTCACATAGAAATGCCAACTGACCCGGCCGAGGCTCGAACCAGTGACCTTCTTACTTTGAGGCGACAGTGCTACTCACTGCGCCACCGCTCCACCCTTACTATTGATATAGTATGTATTATTTGTTTTTCCTTCTATGGATGTCACCAGTTTCCAACATTCTTCGAAATATCTCAATTTTCATTTTTGGGTGAACAATATTTTTACATAAATCCATGTCATAGCTCTTAGTTCATCGAACAGAAAACCTTTAATGCATGTGTAATGCAATCGTTTACACAACAACAGGCTGAACCTTAACCTGTCATAGGTCATAATATAAAGTGTTATTTCTTGTTTACATAGACTGTGTAAAACTAAATTGTTTTGCCATGCGAGCTTGCAGTCATATATGACCAATTTGCATGTGTACATCCATAGTTTTTAAGCGTCACAGAAACAAGTCCTTTTTTTCCTTTTTTATTTATTTTGACTCTAGGATGTGCAGTCTAAATGTGCATTTGCACTTTGTAAAATTTTAAACTGAGAGACCATGGCAATTGATTTGAACCGCTGCATTTCCAAGAGTGCCTAGGAGGCGCCTGTTGATTTGCTGAAATCCATAATGCCACAAATGTGGCATTTAACACAGAGAAGCAGTGTTTTGCTGTTTATGTCACTATAGTGACTGTGAATCGTGGGAGATTGAGGACAAAAATTCCTGTAGACATGAGGAAAAATGAAAGCCTTTGACTAGATAGAGGCCCACAACACAGATAATGCATGAGGAAGAACATACTGAAAATTGTATGTTGGCTACACACAGGGATAATGTCTGTGCTTGGTCGCTTCAGGGCTTTTAGAACAAAGGATCTACTGTAGAAGTTCACTGAAGCCAAGGGCAAACGTGCAATCAGCTTCACGGGTGATTCACTTCAGCCTTTACAGGAACTCTGTACCTGTAATCATCAAAGGCAGAAATGGACAACCACACAGCTATTAAGGAATATACGGGGTTCAATATTTAGGCCAATCAATGAGCAAGCACTGTATTTATACTACAAAAATAAAATAAAAATATTTTTTAAAGAAAATGAATAAATAATACACTTAATAGAAGTGAACGAGATTGATTGTTATTGTTTCAATAATACAGCCAAATATTGTAAATGATTCTATCATGAAGAAAATGTTAACATAAATTTACCTAGTTATTTCTGGTTTTTATATTTAGTTTATTCCAAACTTCCTCACCTTTACAACATAAAGTGTACAACCAAAATAAGTGTAAAATGTAGGATTTTAGCAACTTTACAGTTTAAATAATGCACTTTTGCAAGTGCTTCTCTAAAAACAATTGCATTTTTTGTTATTAAATCCTTCAAGAAATGAACAGAGGCAATTATTGAATCTAAACCCTAACTGCTAATGTTAAAAACATTTCTGTTCAGTAAAAAAAAAGATTAAATAAAAATAGTATATGACAAACTTACAGTAAAACAAAAAGAGAAATATTAAATTTCATTAAGTTAAAGCATCAAAATGATGAAGTATGGAAAAATATAAATAGTACAACTTAAAATAATATAAATAATTGAATAAAAAAAGCAATGAAAATGAAATAAAAAACTAAATAAAATAAAACAATTCAAAATAAAAATGTTATTTTGCAGAAAACAACAACTAATCAAAAAAAAAAAAAAATTTATGTGATGTTTACATTTCTTTTAGGCAGATGATCGGGGTGCCCAAACTTTTTCTTATAAAGGGGGAAAAACTAACCTTGATTGAGGCCAGTGGGCCGAAGGTAAATAGCTGCTATCTGTAATTTCCTAATTTATTTAATAATATTTTAAAAATAACTACAAAACATTGCTATATAATAAATAATACAGCATAATTTTTAAACATTTTATAATGAACTCTGTACAGTAAATACAAAAACAATCTAATTTATAACAGAATGGAGTTACACTAGTCTTTGCTTTGATTTGCATACCATTGTCTTCTTCATAGTCCTCTATCTTTCGAGTGACAATGTTTACAATTTTAAAAATCAGATTCATTTACAACATTAAATTGAAACATTTCATTTCAGTTTATAACTCAGCAATAAAACAAACAAACAAAAAAAAAAAGGTTGTGTCAAATCAGAAATGACGATTTCTGTGTTGAAGACATTCGCCCCAACCGTCTCCATCCATCTCACTCTTTTCTCAGATGGTATGTTGAGCCTAGTCGAAGGTTACAATAGGTCAAATTTGGCCTGCGGGCCCTACTTTGAGCATCTCTGGTATAGATAGACGGACGGACGGACAGACTAAAAGACAGACAGATATCTAGATATAGATAACTAGATAGAGAGAGAGAGAGAGAGAGAGAGAGAGAGAGAGACATAAAACACTGGACTGCCCTTGTATTGAACCTGGTATATTCCTTTAAATAATGTATCTGGATCGTGTATTAACATTCATAACAACCGAGGACAGAAGTGCACCAACTGTGATTACTTGAGTACAACATAAACGCCTTGTGTGGCTTTGTGAGTGTGGCTAACCATTTTAATAAATAAACATGCCACTTCTGTACATCTGATCAATCATTCAGGCTAAAGTCAAATCGCAGACATCTGTACCACAGCTGCACAGGACAAAGAGAGAGGAAAAAAAGTGGGTTGTTTGAGGCCCCGTTAAAGTTTATATAGGCTGAGATATGAAAACCTATAAGCATTTGTCTTGGAAACTGACGGTGGAGTTTCAGTTTGCTATGTATCCTGCGGGCTGATAATGCCGGCCTTACTTCTCAAGCCTAGAGGTTTTCAAAGCACTTAGGAACCATCATTAGCAAATTAATTGGAGTCAGCACTTTGAATTGTAGCAGATAAGCCATGTTGACATATTTTGTGTGAAGAAAGTCTCCATATATAGTGCGTGCATGTGTGTGTGTAAATACTAAGGAGGCCCTGATCGTTTCCCCTTAGCTTGGTGGAAAACGCTGACTTGACTTTCACTTTTAATGTCATTTTTTCATAAAAGCCACAGTCTCCAGCAGGCTTCCAAGTCGGCCACTGCTGAAAACAGACACTGCAGTCATGGAACAAATGATTGAGATGAGAAAGGAAAGATTCAATGCCACCCAGAAAAGCTTTGCGGCTTTAATCCCGTGTCTGTATACTGATTAACAATTTGCTTCAATTTTGCAATAGTGATTGAATTAAATGTTGATTAATTTGGGAATACTTTAGCAATGTAGAAAATTAATTTGTTTCTTTAGATCTTCGTGAGGGTAGAACTATTTAAATACTGAGGGGAATGAAGCAAGACTGTGGGATGAAAGTATCGTTTGTTCAATGGATTTGAGCTGTACTTTAACACCATTGCGATTGTTTAGCTTACAATGCACCTTTCAAAGGAAACTTTCGGTGGACATAAAACAGTTATGAAAGTTATGGGCTTTGAAAAAGAGATGATCTAATACTTTAATACAGTACATTCCTTTGTAAAGAATGCAGTTTATCCCTTACCGCTTCCGACTAATATCTAATAAAAAGTTTTCATCTTAAAGGGATTGTTAAAATAGAAGGTTAATTACAGTACACATACAGTACATTTATATTTGTGACCCTGGACAATTGTTTATTTTGACCCATACAACGTATTTTTGCCTATTGCCAATACATTCTTTGGGTCAAAGTGATTTTTTTGATAACAATAATCATTAGAATGTTAAGCACGATTTTTTGTACATTGCCAACATGCATAAGATATCAACATGACATTAGATTGACGTTGTACCCCAGTGTCGTGGGGACTTTGCATTTTGTTAGGAAATTAAAATTTGGTTGAGGTCAGAACCAATGTCAGGCCGGCATCAATGCCCAAAGTCCAACAGAAAATCAGTGGAATATCAACATCTAAAAAGGGTTACAACATGATGTTGTGTGGATGTTACCACTATGACGTCTGACAGACATTGGATTTTGGTTGCCATATCTGATGAATAAATGTCAGTATTTGACGTCAATATGACGTTGGTTTATGATATTGACTCGACATTGGATTTTGGTAACCTTTAAGCAACGTAAAATCAACCAAATATCAACATCATTTGATGTCATTATTGAACATCAAAATTATAGCGTCCGTAGACGCTGACTAGACATTGAATTTTGGTCACCTGACATCATGACTATTCATTCACAGTCTTTTTTTGTGTGTTCATAGTGTTGCACTAACACTATGACTGGTTTTGTGGTCCAGGGTAACATTAAATCGTTTGGCAGACTTGTTTATCCAAAGTGTTATGTTTTATTCATAATAATAAGTCACACTTTTCAGAGAATTTTTACATTAAATGCACTCAAACAAACTAAACTTGATTTTTTGTGCTGAACCTAAAAAAATCCCTACAT